ACCTCATCCCCTCTCCTCTCCTTCTCTGGCTACCTCTGGTCACCTCCGGCGAGTCTCTCATCTCTGCATCCTCTATTGAAGGTAATATTTATTTTTTTGCTATTTTCCACTTTTTTATTTTATTCACTGTTTATTTTGAAAAGCCTTTTTGTTCACTATTAGTAGTTGATTAAAATTTTATTATATTGATTATTGAAGGTAATTTTTTGCTATTCTCCCTCTGTTTTTAATTCTATTCATTGGTATTGTATGTTATTTGTTGTTTTTGTTATTTCTTAGTATAATTAGTTAATTTTATTCAATTTTAGTTTAATTATCGACTTTAATTCACTGTTATTTAGGTGGTTTTTTATGGTCCACTAAATACTAGTCCAGGGCTTTAGGCCTCACTGTTAAAGTTTTGTTGAATTTAATTAGTTAGTTAGAAATTATTTTGGCTGTTTGGTATTTGTGCATGGTTGATTATGAATCTAGGCTTGTTATTTATTTTTATGGAAATTTTCTATGAATTTTATTCATGTTTTTGTGAATTATCATAATTAAATAAATTTAAAAATAGGCAAATGACTAGGCGCCACCTAGGCATACACCAAGGCACTAGGCCCCGGCTTAAACGCCTAGTCCGCCTAGCGCTTTATGTAACATTGGTGTGTGTACCAATCCAGTTGATTCTTTGGTAGTTAACAAACAATTAATGAAAGCATAAAAATATTTTAAATAAATTAATCAATAAAATGATATTTCCATGTCATCTTTACTTGTCTAGTTTCAACAATAATTTGTTTTTGCACACAAACATCGTATTTCACGTGCATTCTAACGTGGATATATTTTCAGACTCGTAAAGAATTAACTATCACACTTTCAATTTACCTTCAGTTTGGTAAACACCCTTTAAATATTTGAGACCTAGGAAAATTTGCCTCTAGAAGCTAACTGTTGCAGGAAAGAACCCCATATCTCTGTAACTCACATGTGCCACATTAAACCATCTATGTAGTGTGGGACAAAATGGACCTCATCTTAGTGTACCACCAAATGCAGTTTCAGTCCCATGTGGGCTGGCCAGGCAGTAGCCTAGTCCCGATCAAGTGTTGCCAAACCGACGTTACTGTTTTTGCTTTGCACTAGCACTAATTTCAAGCGAACACAATTCTGATGCCACCACCTGCCCTTAAGTACTGGAACTGAGAGATATACGTTTGACTATAATAAATTTTTGTTACACCTAGAAGAACTCATCGAAAAAACCTGGTTGTTCGAGGGAAAGAACTCAAACCTCCATAACCCCGCATCAAACCACTCATATAATCAATATCACACTAAATGAGCCCTAACATTAAGCTGTAGAGCAAAGAAAGCATTTGTTGTCTACCTATCAGCATAGGACAATTGGGTTCCCAATTAACAGTTAAGCGTAAAGCATCATGGGTACCAGGACATGGATAACAGAGTTTCTGATCAACAGTTATGGTAACATCCAGCGCTAGGGAAAGTAATGGATCTTTACAATACTTTGTGACTGACCTCACTATTGTTATCCTCATAAATGATAGTCTAACATTGAGAGAAAATTCAATAAAGAACAATTGAAACATGTTCTAAGCAAGAGAGATTATAGAGTCCACGGAAAAAATTGTTGCTTGAAGAAATTTATCTACCTGATCCTTAGCTATAAAGCTTCATGAATACGTCCCCTAACCGTTTGGATATTTCCTTCCCAAAATAATCTAAATCCGATCTTTTTCTGACCAATTATCACTCGCCCACTCAGGCTACAACAATTCAACCTAAACGGCCCTGAAGTTCAAAAAGCGACAAAAAAAACTATGTTTCTTGAATAACACTAAACAAATCATCAAAATCTTCACCCAAAAAAAAAATCCCTGAAAACACATCAAACAGCCGCCACGTTCCCAACTTTCCACCACAAAGCCTAACCCTAGATCAGACGAGCATCCCAATGAAAAAAGGCACGAGAATTTAAACAAAACCCCATGAAAATTACAAACTTTAGAACAAAAAGAATCAGATGACAAGAACTAGGGTTAGGGTTTCTCGACTTACCCTCTGGACCCGTACATGATTGCTCTTCTCCCTTCTACGGAACGAATCGCCTGAGAAAATCGAGGATTTGGGAACGAATCTTTGTTTAGAGAGAGAATTTATGGAAGTAGATCGAGGATTTATAAGCAAGAGGAGCCCAATCTTTAGGTCGAGAGGGAAACCCTAATGTCGGTTTATAAATAAAACTTCTGTGTATTTTGTGGGGTTTGCTAATTTGAGTAGAACCCTTCACATCTTTGATTTTACATTGCAGACCATTTGTGTAAAATGTGAAAAGTACTACGTATTTTTCATCACTAAAATTGCTTTACAAGGGGAAAAAATACTAATTCCGTAGACTTTTACCTTCTTTTGTATAATCTCTATAATTGCTCAATTATTAAACTTGTATTTACATAATTCAAATGATTTATTAATTTACAATTATTCTCAAAGTTAGGTTTCTTGTTATGACTGTCTGGGACGGAAGAGTTCTATTCTTTAATTTAATTTTTTGATATTATACGGTGTTAAATGATGTGAACAGTGGGATTTTGGGTAAAAAGAATAAATTCAATGGAAAAAGATAGATCATAGAAAACCCGCTCATATTTATGTCTTCAATAGTACTTATTACTCCTCGATTATTTTAGAGATACTTTATCCTTTTTAAAATGAAAATTCAAAAATGTTACACGCTACTACATGGAATGAAGTTGATAAATATTACCAAAGATAGACCAAGGGTTGCAAATTACCCCCAATAAAGTATAATTTATAACTAATTATAAAATTTTTGAGAAATCAAAAGGGTTTGCATTTAAAAAAGAAAAATTCCTCAAGGACCTAAAATATGGGACCAATAGAGGGGACAAGTGAGGTGTCTCATTTCTATTGGATAATGAGTTGATCATCATTAATGATGGCCAACTCATTATCCAATAGGAGGGAGACACCTCACTTGTCCCCTCTATTAGTCTCATATTTTGGGTCCCTGTAGCAAAGCTCTTTCAAAAATATCCACCCTTTTCATTCTTTTGGGTTCTAAAGCCTTGCAAAATTTTTAAGCTATCCTACACCTGTCATTAACACCGTAGGATGAGTCGAAGTAAGATTTGGACGTAGTACAGTGGTCAGATTCTAACGAATAGCTACGGGAATATTTGAAATAAAATAATGTGTCCAAAGTCTAGTTTAAAACTCCAAATAAAAGCCTGCTCATGTAGCCTATGGGCTGAAACGATGGCATTTTTGAATTTTGCATTTAAAACAATAACCCATACTTTATTCCAGCATGGTCAAATCAGGGTCTTCTTCAAAAATTGTTGATTTTGTATTCGAATTATAGTGGCGTTGACATTTTAAGTTTTCATACTTATGATTTATTTTTACAATGAGCAAAATTAATCCGCACGATGTTGCGACATTAGTTTGAGCGTTTGATTTAAAAATATATTGTGCAACTAAGCACTTAGAAATGTATAGCATATTATATTAAAATATAGCAACATACACTTATGTCAAACTCTTAAATACAAAGTGAGTTTAAAATTATTTGTATAAAGTATCATCCCATTTAACTTTAGCATATATATAAATATAAATGTCCAATTAACTGTATAAAGTATCATGCCAGTTATCTTTATCACATATATAAATATAGGGTTATTTCAGTATTAGTCCCTCACATCTTCACTATTTCCAATTTAATCCCCCAAGTTATGAATATTCCTATTAGGTCCCTCAAATCATCACATTGCTTACAATTACGTCCCTTGTCTAAGTAAACATTTATTTAGATAATTTGGGTGAAGTTAAGCCTTAATGCACATGGTTAATTATAATAATGCCCTTAGGTTAAACATTCTCCTCCAAAACCCCTAATCCCCCTCCCCTTGCCCCCTTTTATCATGATAGATGACAAGGAAAAAATTTATTCTAATTTCATGTCATTCAAATTGCATTCATAATGCTACATTACCATTGATATTTTCTCAAATTACGACTAAAATGCATTAAAAAAACCTAAAATGAATATACATGCCTAACATAATGTTAAAATTTAAGGGTATAATGGGAAAGTCATCACTCAAAGTTAGATTTGATAGATAATTTGGGTTAAGTTAAGCCTTAATGCACATGGTTAATTACAATAATGCCCTTAGGTTAAACATTCTCCTCCAAAACCCCTAATCCTCCTCCCCTTGCCCCCTTTTATCATGATAGATGACAGGGGGGGAATTATTCTAATTTCATGTTACTCAAATTGCATTCATAATGCTACATTACCATTGATATTTTCTCAAATTACGACTAAAATGCATTAAAAACCTAAAATGAATATACATTCCTAACATAATGTTAAAATTCAAGGGTACAATGGGAAAGACATCACTCAAAGTTAGATTTTAAGGAATAGTCTTTTAGATCTGATTGTTGTTAACTAGGGGGGGCCTAATTGTAAGCAGTGTGATAATTTGAGGGACGTAATAGGAATTTCCATAATTTGGAGGATTAATTTGGAAATATTGAAGATGTGAGGGACTAAGATTGAAATAACCCATAAATATAAATGTCCTATATTTTTTTTAAGGGTGACTGACACAAGTGTTATCTTTTTTGTCCTGTATGATTTTCACTAGAGGGGGCCTCTTTGTAAGATTCTTTTTTTGGTTCTCATATTGAAAAGGATTTTTACCTTTTTGGGCTGAATTTCAAAAAAAATTACCCTTCAAATCTGGACTAATGTCAAATTATCTCTCATATAACTTTCAAAATGTTTGAGGGTTATACTTTTTTATGGCAATTTACAAGGAAGAACCTCACATTTTAGTTTCTTGTACTATAGATAGTGTAGTCTGTGGTATAGGAAAAACATCTATTATTAAGGAAAATGATAGGGGCACACCCTCAACCACACCTCCAACCACACTCCCTCTCTCATTTGCTACAGTGCACCGGGCCCCACATGTGATTTTAAAATTTAAAATCACATGTGGGGCCCGGTGTACTGTAGCAAATAAGAGAGTGGGTGTTGTTGAAGGTGTGGTCGGGGGTGTGCCTCTAGTGCCACCCTATTATTAATGTTAACCAGTTGATAGACTAGATCTACCATCATTACTGTTTGTAAATGCTTCTGGGACTCAACTTGTTGCATCACTTTTAGGTGAACTGTTCCCCCCTTTAGAGTTAAGATATGTAGTATAAATATTAATTGCCTACAACAAATCCAATTAGAAAACTATACAGTCCTTAAGAAGGCAACTTGGTGTGATTCATTTACATTTAAAAGATAGCGTGCAAGTGTTCAATTGAATAGATACACTCCCAAATGACATTTCTCGTTTGTCCTGTATTCGCATAATGAGCTCAAAGTTCATTGCTAGTGCATTAAGTTAATCATATAATTTGAGGAAACTCATTATAAACAACTCAAACTGGATCATTCCCCTTCCCTATAATGAGGCATACCAAATGTTTGCATTCTATCGCAAACAACTTGACCACTCATGTTAATTCAGGATGGAGATCCTATCACGCCGCCATAATGTTCCGAAAATACATGATGGGCATATGACTAGGCTAAGCAACATATGCAATCGGGCTAAACACCACCCAAAAGCATATACTTAAGCTTAGTACATATGTCTCATCCACCATGGCCAGAATGGAATCATACATAATCACAAATATAAAGAAACTGATATATGGCGAAAACAGGTATACAGTATACATACTCAACATAAGCAAATACTAATCAATAAAAGTATCAACAAGTCCCACATATAACTGAATAACATAAAGTATATCACAATTATGGTATCAATATCCTCCTCACAGAGTAATAATTACAAGGTCGAACAGCTATACAAGTCTAGAGTAACAATTAAATAAACTAGATACATCATAGTCACTACATAGCAGCATAAATAATAAACATAGTCCAAAAGAAATCAGAAACTGATAATTGGCAAACTGGGATAGAAACTGGATGAAGTGGCTAACAAGCTAGTCGAAGGAATCCTATCTACTAAAGGTCACTAAAATCCGGGGTGCCGAAAAGAAAAGTTGCCGTGTTCGGATTCACCACTGGTGTACAAATTAGGACAATCAGAAAGTCATCTAGCAAGTGATAAACTGAACGGAGAGGTTTGTGCACATGTAATGTGTATCATGAATGCATGCCTAGTATAAACATAAGAAAGACTATATAACTGTATCACATGACTAGTCGACTAATGCTTAATATAGTCAACTGCAAAATTGTCAGTCATGTTTCTGTAAAACACATGACTAGTCGACTAATGCTTATTATAGTCGACTACTAAGAAATTTTCTGGTTCACTGAGTCGATTTTAACTCAGTGTAGTCGACTACTATGTCTTGTAGTCGACTACAAATACAGTTTTTTCACATTTTAAAGTTTGAATTAATGACTGTTTATAGCCGTTTTTTAAACGTTTTTTAAAGTTCAAATTCTTGTCTTTTCAAGGGCTATATATAGGTTATTTGTTCAGAAAAATGCACGAAATTTACATACCCATAAGCTTTGATATTTATGCATCTTTCAAGTGTTAAAAAATTCAGATTTTGAGAAAAAGAAAAGTTTTCTAAAATTGCCTTTGATCCTCATTAAAATACTTGTCTAGGCAATTTACAGAAGTTAGAATCATTCCTAAGTCATTACTACACTACACTACAAATCAAGGCTTATAGGAATTGAGTTGTTGCTTCAAAAGTTCTCTCGGTTTGTGAGAGGTGTTAATCTCTTGGTTTAGAGATTGGTCTGCAAATTGGCAACGACGCTAAAATAATTAAGCACCTTCTTAAGCACACAAGTTAAAGAATCAAAATAATTAAAACATACTTAAGCACCTTCCCCGGCAATGGCGCCAAAAACTTAATGCGGTATAAACATGTACCAAAAATATTGTAAGTGCACAACCGTGTCAAGTTATAGTATAAAAAGTTATCGATCCCATGAGGAATGTGTTTTGTAGGAGAAAATATAAATCGGTTCTTATGTTGTGTGCGTGACAAATAGGAGTGATGAGTGAATGTGATGAGTGAATGTGATTGTGGAGAGATAGAGAGAGTGAAAGTGATAGTGTGTAAATCGGCACAAAATGTAAGTGAGAGTGGATGTGACAAAGAATGAATGATTTTCACAAGGAAAGATGAATAAAATCAAGAATCAA